GTATAGAGTCATTTCTTTTAAGCATTTCCATATACAGTTCAAAAATGGAAGAAATAGGAATAATAACCACGCCCACCTCCCATACAAAAGTTATGTTGAAAATCTCTAAATGTGCGTTAACCGATTAACAAAGAAGGTCAGAAACACTAAATTTTACGGAAGAAATGTCAGAAAGAAGCTGCATCCAGGCTTTTTATAGAAATTGAAAATGGGCGTGGCGTCGCCCACTTATGGACCAAAGACCGAACTTAGCCCTTCCTTACTTGTTTTAATCTAATTTTAAATTTTTAAGTTATGATTTAATTTTTATTTTAGTTAAGCTTAATTTTAAAAATTTTTTTTTTGATTTTAATAATAAATTTTAATTTCAACTCTTAATTTTAATTAACATTTTTTTATTTTAGTTTTAAATTTAATTTTAACACTTAATTTAAATTTTATTTTTTATTTTAAATATCCCTTTCATTTTAAGTTTAAGTTTAAGTTTAAATTTAAGTTTAAGTTTAAGTTTAAGTTTAAATTGAAGTTTAAGTTAAGTTTATCGTTGTAAGAAAAATAATTAAGTATTAAAATATTTCATATTTAAAAAGCCAAAGCAGAAATGACCCACTGTCATCAAACGTTATCGCCACTACCGCTACTGTATTGCACTGCTTGCGCGTCCTCACGATTGACTTGTTTATGATTATGAGTAAGAATTATTTTATTTCATTCATTTCATTGTCTTTTCCTTATGTTATCGTCAGACCAAAATTTATACTTCGCACACAAAATTGTTGCTATACACCCATTTTTGTGTTGTTGCTTAACTTCGAAATTACATTTAGTTTTGTTATTTACTCGTCTGTTGTTCGCCATATTTTGACTTAAACTTTTTGTTGCCAAATATCCGCAGGGCAAATGAAAAACTGTGATAAAACAGAAGCAAGTAAGCAGAAGAGGAAGAATTGTAACATACATATGTACATATAACCATATATATATATATATGTGTGTGTGTGAGTGGTTTTTGCATGCCAAATAAAGCGCACTTCATAAAAATTCAATTCAGTTCCCAATTGCTTTGGTGTACTCGCGTGTACCCACTCGTACGCGGCACCAGCTTGTCGACTGGCAAGTGCTTTTCAGAAGGTTACCGTTGTGTATGAAAAGGAGCAGCTGTCGTTACTACAAACTTGTACATACAAAAATACCAATGCATGAGGTAGTCGGCGCGCATTATGGCGCTGGCGCATTGTGGGTCTATGAAGCTCGAGAGTTGTGCCGAATTCGGTGTTGAGCCACTTTAAAAGTTTGCTACATTTCGGGCTGCACTTAAGCGGATTAATGCAAATTGAGTTAACACTTTTGACTTGCCGGGCAATCATTTTATGATTTCTTGCCACTTTTGGCATTAAGCATAATAATTAATAAATAATTCACTCTACGGTTCGCTAGAGATTGTTGAGTGTTGAGAATACTTCGAATGTGGCGTGGATTTACGATTGCGGGTGGGTATACTATATAAAAAGCAGAGTATTTGTATTCAAGCGCTTTTTTAATTAAGATTTTTTTAGTGAATTTATTGCTTAAATTAGACATACATATTTGCACATTGATCCATATGTATCTATCTGCATATTTAGTCAGTTTGTTCGCGAAAGTTCTTTCATAAAAATGTATTATATGGTTTTTTATAAATTGCTGCCAAGTGTTTTGCACTTTTGTCTTTAGAGGGGTTTGTAGAGGCAAATATCCGCAGTATTTTGTTTTTATATTAAAATTTAAAAATATAGCTGGTTTTTAAGCGCTTAGCTTATGTAACAAATATTTCATAAATATGAGGAGAATTGAAGAGAAAAGGTTGGTGAACGAAATTTGAAAAATTTTTTGTTCTGAAATTCAATTTTGGGATCAGTAGGCAATGGAAAAGCAGATGAGAACATATTACGCTCCATAAATCACGGATAAGTCCTGCCTTATTTTACGGCGCAGAAACAGGGACGTTGATGAACAGAGATGAGAAAGCACTAAGATCATTCAAGAAAACTGCTTTTGCATGATCTTTGAGCGATGAATATCAAAGTAGATGGAAACACGAACTGTTAAACGCATAAAAATTCAATGAATGCGATAGTTAGACCACGTCATTCGAATAAAAGATGATGCTCAAGTGGTATGTTCCTTCGACTGGAGACTTAATACATGAACTGGGAAGATCAAGCACAAACGACCTCTCTGCACTTGCGATGGAAAATTGACAAGCCCTCGCAAAGGATAGAGGCGACTGGTGAAGTTTTGTGTTCTTGGCCCAGACCGATCCACGGCTGTAGTGCCAAGGCAGAAGAAGAATATAGTTCTTTCTAGATCATGTTATTAGGGACGATTTTGTCAATAATTTAATAATATTTTGGAATTATAAAACAGTGAAAGAATTTTTTAAAAATGTTAGAATGATTGTTTAATGAATAAAAATATATTGGGTTATCAAAAAAGTTTTGCGGTATTTTCGCTAGTTGGCGCTGAGAGCGCGTAGTTCTAGTTTTATTCATCGCATCGGGTCATGCTATTACCTTTTTGGAAACCTCATTTCACTGGCTAACACGTGTTTGATTGGTTTTCGTTTCTTTTATATCGTTCGTGAGTTATGGCGTCGCAAACATGGAGAAAAATCCAAAGAGACCGGCATAGTAGCAGCCGTAGCATCGGTCAAGTGGTGGGCATGAGTCATCAAAAAAAATTTTATGAACAATTGAAAGTTCAATAAAAATACCGCAAGACTTTTTTGACAAACTATTATAAGAATAAGGGATCTGTAAGAGACGAAGGCCACTAGAAATTACCGCAAATTTCTCTAATAATTTTTTAATCGTAATTTATTAACTTTTTGTAAGACATCTTTCATAAGTAGATTAACTTGAAAGAACCTATTTTTTAACCAAAGAGCGCTTGTAACAAACCCACTGTAAAAATCAGCGTAAAACCCGTTCAACTTACGGTGTTTGGGAAATCAATTTGTATCGAAAAATAAACCCGTTATATGCAAAATTTATTTAAAAGCAGCGCACCGTGTGAATTAATACAAAAAACAAAAAAAAAAATAAAATTGGTGGCATTGACCTACCTTTGGTACTTCAGCATGGCGCGTGGCAGCAGAAAATTGCCATTCTCCGACGCCTCGGTTGCGCCACCCTTCTTCGTATGCACCGACACTAAGTCTTCGGCTGGCGCGATGGCAGCTCCTCCACTGCCACCCTCTGGGCTGGTGCGCTCCAAATCCGGCGACGGCGAAGCATTGCGCGAACGCACCAAACGCACACCGAAGCGTTGCATATACGTGTAGGTCAGTTCGCCGGCAGGTTGCGGGCGACGCATATAGCCTACAGCATCAATATTATTCACATCGTCAGCAATGCTGCTGCGCCCGCTACTGCTGCTGTGTTGAAAGCTGCTGCGTGTGCTCGGCGTCGACGAGGCGATGGACGAGGCAGCGCGATAAATCGTCTTAAGCGTATTGTGTGGCTTTTGTAATTGTTGTTGTTGTTGTKGATTCTGACTATTGCTGCCACCAACAATGGGCGGCACTTTTGTGGCAGTGATTGCACTTGCGTGTGTTGCAACAGCAGCAGCCGAAACACCGACTACCTTGTGGACACCTTGAGCCTCCATGGCTTCGATATCGTCCTGGTCATAGGGATGGATTGCGTCGAAATTGTACGAATTGAAGTAGGCCTGTTCGCGTGTGCGCTTCATTTTGGCAGCCTCTGAGGCGTAGTCATCGAATTCGGCGACGTTTTTTGTCGCCTGCGCGGGCTTATTGCAAATCGGCATTTTGTTGTCTGTGGCGGTGGCGCTGTTGGCGATGGCAGTGTTGTTGTTGTTGCTAAGCGTTTTGGCGCACGGGGGCGTACCCTCAGCAGCTATGTGACACGTTGACTCTGGCAATGGTTGTGGCGGCGGCGGCGCCTGCTTTATTGTCGTGCCGTTGGCTGTGGGTGCGGCGTGCGCGCGTCAGAAACACAGAACTGGTGGAAATTTTGTTATGTTTTTTGTGGTTGCTACAGATATTGGCATACAGTTTGGTTTGTGCGTTTAACTGCAATTAAATGTTTGAGAAAGAAAAAATGTGGATATTAGAAAATATTTTGCAAGTTTATTTTCGGAAAATTTTAATTAGTCGCGTGACTGCAGCGCGTCATTAATTTTTATTCTTTTTGTGCATAAAGTAAGTGAATAATAATAACTTCTGCCAAATTTGTGCTTTATTATCATTGAAAATCACTTTTTTTGTTGCATTTCTTTGTTGCTAATTCCTTTCATTCATTTCATTTACTTCGTGAATAATTTCACTTAATTGGCCAGCTGCGCGACGGCGCTTTACGTTTGTGGCCAAGCGGCTTAGCGTGTGTGCGTTTTTATAGTATTGCAGCATTAGCGTGCTCCAAGCGGTTTGGCAGGCTAGCGCTCGCCCGCTAATGCTGTTGGCTACAAAATCCCGTTCGGCACGCAAACATCCGCCTGTGGTTGAGTCAGTTTTTGTGCGGATTTCAGCAAGCACTTCTGAACTGGTTTCTGGTTTCGCCCGAAATGGACTGTAGGCCCAGAATGTGCACAATTGCCAGCGGCTAGTGAAATGAGCAAGCGCATGTGCACATACAAACATTCCTATATGTAACTAACTGTGCTATTTTTCTCAGTTTAATTGATTCTTTTGCGCTTTTTCCTTTTCAGCGAGCGTGTGCAATGGCAGTAAAACGGATATGGTTAGCTTCCCAAAGACTTTGGGATTTTGTAATTTATGCGTTCGCCTTTGCTATTTGGCGCTGTTGTATGCATGCAGAGTTCTTTGTTGTTTGTTTTTGAAATCACTCTTTTATTTTTCCCCCCCTCCATTTCACGTAAAAACTGTGAACTGTGTTTTAATAAGGCAAGCAAAGAGTTTTATCTATTTTTTAATTGCTTTTACTTCCAATTTTGAAATTTATTTAGCTTGCACTAATAAATGTGTAATAAAAAGATGCTGTACTTATGGAAAATTAATTGCAATAACTGTATTTTGTTTATATATAAAAAATGTTAAATAGAATGCATCATGTCTGTCACATGACAGCAGAAAAAAAACAACAAACAAATGAGAATTTTGTCGAGAAAATCAAATTCTTTTTATTTTAGAGAAACCAAAAGAGCCACTTAGTACGTGGTTCATATTAAAAATATTATTTTCATAAAAAAGCAAATCGGCAGCTGTTGCAAAATGATAAAAGAGTTGACATAAAATAGAGTTTTCACAAAAAAGTCATACATGTACTATTGGTTTCCAAAATTTCGGTGMATTTAATTAATTAAAAAATATCAAAACAAAAGTAAGCACATTAATACTTTAATTAATACAGTAATAAACATTAATAGTCGTCTGGACCATATACACTTTTTGAAGTCAGAAAACTGCTCTCAGAGACTTAATATTTTCGATCTCGATTATATTTCGTCACGATTTCGATTTTACCTAGCACTTTCTGAATGGGAGCCCCAAACTGCCTTTTGAATGTAAGCATTTTATGTTGTGATTCAATTCCATTTTTACCGTATAGATCACCAGTGAAGGAGAGCGAAGATATATTGCCGACGATTACTATCGGGCCCAGACTTCTCAGAGTAGTTTGGAGCCCTGCAGCAATGTTTTGCAATTTTTTTTCTCAATCAATTTATCGGTCTGAAGTGAGTTGACTGAATCTGTATGATAATATAGTTTGTAAAAAAAGTCTTGCGGTATTTTCGCTAGTTGGCGCTGAGAGCGCGTAGTTCTAGTTTTATTCGTCGCATCAGGTCATGCTATACCTTTTTAGAAAGCTCATTTCACGCGCTAACACGTGTTTGTTTGATTGTCGTTTCTTTTAAGTCGTTCGTGAGTTATAGCGTCGCAAACATGGAGCAAAATAAAGAGAAAATACGGCATATTTTACAGTACTACTACGATAAAGACAAAAATGCATCTCAAGCCGCCAATAAAATTTGTGCAGTTTATGGACCCGATACAGTTTCCATTTCCACCACACAACGATGGCTTTAACGTTTCCGTTCTGGTGTAGAAGTGGTCGAAGATGCGCCACGCTCCGGAAGGCCTGTCGTCGAAAATTAATCGCTGAATTGGTCGAAAGAGATCGGCATAGTAGCAGCCGTAGCATCGGTCAAGAGCCGGGCATGAGTCATTAAAAAAAATTTTATGAACAATTGAAAATTCAATAAAAATACCGCAAAAATACCGCAAAAACACCGCAAGACTTTTTTGACAACCTTGTATGATTTTGTTCATAATTTTAAAATTCTTAATTTGTTCTTCAAGTTGTTAAAGTCAATTTCCGAAATAACCTTAGTCTCTATTGACTCAAAAAAAGCCAGACGCCACGCGGAGCAAATTTAGCCAAATGCGGTGATTTTCGCATGATATTGGTTGAAAATTTGGAAAAGAAAACTCACGAAGAATCAAGATAGAAGAGGTTAATTTTTTACACTTTTTGCAAATTATTTTTCTACTTTTTAGTCCCTATCTACCTCCTAAAAAAATACATTAATAACACTCCTTATATTTTGTTATTATTCATTACGAATAAATATATTTTAAATATAAGCAATTAAGAGGCACATACAATTAATAAACAAAAAAACTTTCCTATACACAAACAGCTCTAAAGAGCTTTACTAATTGATTTTTTTCGATTTTATTAGACTTATATCCGATTTGATTAATAACATTTATGGCGGCCGGAGTCAATCGTTGACATTTTTTGCATACCATTAGCATTTTAATTGCACTTTCTAGCATTAACACAACAATAATTGTCGCAAGGCATTCACAGCTCTAAGCCGTGTTGATTAGAAAAAATTAAGCCAAACAAATAGCAAAAAAAGAAACAAAATTAACAAGCAAATGCCAACTGATTGTTATGAAGTGGACAACATTTCAGGCTCAAATGGGCATTTTTTACCTACATGCATACACATATAGGGTATATAGTACACATGTGGCGAACCCAATGTCCGGTTCAAGAATGAATTATACCCAAGATATGATCACAATGGCTTTTCAATGAAACAGCAAATTGTATGGAAAAGTAAATTGTTTTATTATGCAACAAATTTTACGTCAGATCCTGGGAAAGTTGCTAATGCTGCAGGCGGTATTTGGTTTTGCTTGGGAACTTTTTACTACGTTTTGATTAATGCTTAATGATTAATGGCATTTGCAGATCTCAAGCGGATTTGCAGACCTTTTCTGGGTAGAGAGGAAAGTGCGTGTATTTAAATATATTTTTTAATAATAAAATAAATATTTTTTCTGGTATGCCTCATTAATTAGTAATTGAAACTGTTTCTTTGAAATTGTTGTATTTTAGATATTTATAGGATAGGAAATATTTCAGATTACTTAGGTGTTAGTAGTGACCTTAAATTTTTCTGAAGAATGGATAATTTGTTTCTTTTGAAGCGGGTGCTATTGATATAACTCACAGCACTGGGCTGGTGTGAATTATTTTTTATTGAGGTAGAGTCTATATACAGGCCACCTATACTTATATAAATATAGGTATTACGTGCGGCAATCATCCCAGCAGTATTTCTAGAAACTATATGGGTGTCGGTGTATAATATAATAACATCGGAAGCATAATTTTTATAGTTCAGGTTTTAGAGAAATCGAATGTTGTTAGAATTAAAGTCTCTTGTTCATAATTTGAATAAGATACAATAGGAATCATGTCTGATAGGTCAGTGGCTAGAATTTCGACGTTTTTTTTTTTTTCAAAAACTGAAGCATAGGTTTGCTGATAAAATAAATATACTAAAGGAAATGAATAATTAGTGAAGCATATTTATTTTTGGAACTAAATTTTAAGAATATTGATAGAAGATGCTTTAATTAAATACATGATATGATAGCAAATATTTATTTTTCTGCGTTGGATTTCGAGGCTGACATTGTTGTTTGTGTTAATACTGGTTACAAGATAGACGAGATTACCTTCGGCTTCAAAGTTATGACTGTTCACAGTGGCATGGGTGCCTGTCGCGAGTGCGACGTCTGTTTGTTTGAAGACAAGAGATATTTCGTCTTGTTCTCGTTCACTACTATACCCATTTGCTGCGCTTTCTTATCTAGTCTGTAGAATACAGAATTAACGGCGCGGTTGTTATGGCCAAATAATAAGTAGTTGTGCACTCTTGGGGAAGATTGCACCTTCTAAAACTGCGTTTGGAATCGAGCGTCTCGAAAAGATCCCTCCCAATCCTGATAAACCGACTGTCAAAACTAGTTGGAAATCGACGAAGAGGTGGTGTTTGTCGATCCTTTTTTTCATTTTGCTTTTGTGGATTTCGTTCTGGTAATTTGATGTAAAAAATGCATCAATTTATTTGTTGAGTTTCGAATTTCCATCTTTAAGTCGCTGCCGAATCGAAACAAATTCGAACAATTTCTGAAGCGGATGGTTATTGGTGACGAAAAGTCGGTAACTTACGACAATGTTAACTGAAAACAAATGATGAACAAGCCAGTATTGATGATAAGGAAGTGTTTGCTATATGGTTGGTGAGGTTTACTGAGAATCATGAGAATCATACTATGAACTATATGTTTTGTGAATTCTCCAGAGAGCCATTGCATATGAGAAACTAATTATTCAGCAATCACTTAGAAGTGACCAACCAGTTGGGGAAATAAGGGGGTGACGTATGTTTCATTAAAACAACGCCAGACTACACATCGATAGGGACTCGCCAGAAGCTTGATTGGGATGTTTTAAAGCGGCCATTATATAGTTTGAATCTGATGTGAAGTGCCTGCTACATGTTATTGTGTTTATTGCGAATGATTTTGCTGATGAAAAATATATTTATAAGGAGCTTTAGCTACTTTTCAGTATTTTAGTCATTAAGGACAGGGGTTTCCACGTGTGTGGTATTATGACATTACTTTGGACATGTTAAAAAGTAATCCAGTAACAACAAATAATTCTTTAAAACGCTTTTCTTTATACTATACATTATACTTTGTCATTGCAACTCATTATTGCTTGACACAAATATTTACACTGAAAA